GACTCACAGCAGCCCAGCTCCAGGTTGAGCTGTTGTTCAGCATCTTAGCTGTAGAGGGCAGTGTCACTGGCCCTCATATGTGGGATCCGAACCGGGGACCTCTGGCGTCCCAAGCCAGTTCTTAACCATCGCGCCACTCGGCCGGCCTGAAAAGAGCAGAAATTCTTAATTTTTATGAAGTCCGATGTATTATTTTCTCTTCTATGGATCATGCTTTTGGAGTAATATCTAAGTTTTTTTTGTTTTTGTTTTTGTTTTTAGATTTTATTGGTGAATTGGGGGAGGGGAACAGCGTTGGGGAATCGGGGAAGGGGAACAGACAGGTAGACAAATTGCTGTTTTGTTCCTCAGTCTAGTTGAGGACGTGGCTTCACTGGCCCATGCTGGTATTATCATTGCGCTCTTCCTGGGTGAGGCAGTCGCTAGCCGGCTATTGGACGGCCGCTCACGGAGGCTCACTGCAACGTGTGTGAGTGGGCAGCTCACAAAAGCTCATGCCAGCTGCTGACCAGCCCCACTGCAACCTATGCTGACTCACGGCAGCACAGCTCCAGGTCGAGCTTTTGTTCACCATCTTAGCTGTAGAGGGCGCAGCGTCACTGGCCCTCATGTGGGATCCAAACTAGGGCCCCTGTGGCTCAGAGCTGGTGTCCCAAGCCAACTCCTAACGAACTCGCCACTCGGCCGGCCCCTAAGTTTTTTAAAAACGTAGATATCTAGTTGTTCCTGCACTGATTACCCTAGCACCTTTGTTAAAAAAATCAATTAATCAGGTATTTAAGGGTCTATTTCTGGACTCTCTATTCTGTTTCATTGCTCTATTTGTCTGTCTTGACATTAATACCACACTGTCTTAATTACTCTAGTTTTATAATAAATCATCAGATAGTTTAAGCCCTCTGACTTTGCTCTTTTTTTTTTTAATATTGACTTTGCTCTTCTAGGTCCATTTATTTCAGTTCTCTTTGATTTCTCTCAACAATGTTTTTCAGTTTTCAGGATACAGGTCTTGCTCACCTTTCTGGGATTTATTCTTAAATATTTTATATTTTTGATGCTACTGAATAGTATTTTTACATTTCAATTCCTGGTTGTTTATTGGTAATATATAAAAGTACAATTAATTTTTGTATATTGATGTTATGTGCTACCACTTTGCTAAATTCACTTATTAACTCCAGTAGATTATTTTTTGTAGATTCCATCAGATTTTCTATGGAGATAATCATGTCAGCTGCAAATAAACAGTTTTGTTTTTCCCTTTTGAATCTGAATGCCTTTTATTTATTTTTCTTGCCTTATTGCACTGGCTGGGACTTCTAATACAATGTTGAATAGAAGTGGAAAAGCAAACATCTTTGCTTTGTTCCTCATCTTAGGGGGAAAACATTCAATCCTTTGTCATTAAATATGATGTTAAATGTAGGTTTTTCCTAGATACCCTTTATCATGTTGAGGAAGGTCTCTTCTATTCCTATTTTCTTGAGAGTTTTTTATGACCTTCATGTAGCATAACTTATAAGAAAGCTAATGTGTTTTAAAGAGAAATTTGAGTTCACAGATTAAAAAAAAAAATTCAATCCCATGACTTGGAGGAACTCTTCCTTCATAATAAACTTGCCTTTCTAAATAGTTTTTATTTTGCTTTTTCTGAAGCAGTGTGATCGTTACAATCAGGATATGTGCCCTCCTTATTAAAGCTGCTTTTCCTGAAAATCAGACTCTGGAGCTATCATTAGATATTATTTGCCAATGAGAAGACAGATTTCTGAATCCTTTCTCCAAAATTTTAAGAAACATGGAAATTCAGCCTTATTAGAAATCAGAGGAAGACTGAAATAAATGGAGTGATGTACTGTGTGTTGTTGTTATGATGTCAGTTCAAGTAATAGAATCTGTTACTTTTGAGCTCCAGGTAGCTAAACTTACAAACTTTTCAAAATATGAGAATATTTGCTGACTCTATGAGAATCTTTGAAGGCATCAAAAATGTCAAGGATTTCCTTTCACAACTAAGCTCATATCAGGAAAAAAATCAATACAGTGAGAAATGAGTTTCCATTTAGAAAGATGAAAGAGGGATTAGACTTACCCAGTGTTGCTCCAGAGGGCAAAACCAACACCAGGAGTGGGAGTTCTTAGAAGATAGATGCCAGCTCAGTATGAAGGATGTTCTAAATGGGGCTGATGAGCAACAAAACAGACCAAGAAGCCAAAATTGTTTGTTCACGGAGAAACTGTAAAATCAGTTGTTCTAGACATTTTGGGGATCAAAGACCCCTTTGAAAAATCTGATGAAAACTATGGATCCTTTTTCTTCTCAGATAAACTTGCAGATCCATGCACACACATGCATATATACTAATGCACAACTTTACAGTCAGTTGTGAAACTCTTCCTCAAACCCCAGGCGAAGAATGCCCATTGTACACAGATGTTTAAAGAGTGAAGTGGGACTCTGCCTTTCCCACTCTGAGAGCTTATGACCCTCTGGTTCTTTCCTCATCCTTA